ATGTTTCGTGTATCCTCTTCACTAAATCGCCTATATTTCCGTTTTTCTATGTCTGCATACATTTAAATACTTTTTCAGATAAGTCCGGTTTGGCAAATTTTCAGCCTGACTCTAAACACCTTAGCGTGTGTCATTCTGGTCGTGTTGCTCCTCTTCCTACTGCTCGGCCGACTACGCCAAGTCCTGAGGCGAGCCCCACGTTTGCCTTTCACTCAGCCCGGATGCCACCCTTGGGACATATCGTATAGCAAAGCCACCTGGGGTGGCCAGTCCCCACCACCTTCGCCTCATCTTGCGCAAACATCAATCCTATCTTCACCCCAGCGGCCTGGACTTGTCAAAGGTAGCAAAATCTCCGAGATGCAACATCTCCCTTCTTCAGCAGAGGACGGGTTTATCCGGATCACCTGGGCCTCTGGGGACGGACCTCACACACATCCGACTCCGGTATCGGAGACGTCAATTCAACCATCTTGCAAGTCAGAAGAGGAGCTTGGAGTCGTGAACAACTGTGGGCCGCTCTCTATCACATACCGTATACGCCGGAGACGTATGGAGGACCGTCTATCCGTTTGTCTTTCTGCTCTCTGGCTGCTTCCGTCTCTATTCGGACTAGCCAGAGATGTGTTTGGGTATGTCTACCGACCAGCCACGGAGCCTCAATTAACTCACTTTATGATAATCAATCTAATATACGAACTGATCGACATACTCTGCTCTGGCCTCAGAACTACCACTTGTTTGGTAATAGGAGTATATATTCGGCGAGTCCTCGTCAACATGGTACGTACTTAGAAGGTGTTTGCTTTGCTTTGGTTGATCTTTATTAAACATTGCATCTTTTACCCAGGTGAGTCTTTCAACTCTTTTATCTATTCTGTAGCCCATTTAAGGCATGGCAAGATCCCATTGAATATTTGTGTGATCATCTTAATTTATATTAAAGTAGGGTTTCGAGACTACCAGTAACTCAGTGTAATGAGATGTATTCACCCTATTTC